CCCTAAACAGCAGCTGAGCTGCACCTGCTGCTCACTGCCCCTTCCAGCTTCTCGGTCAGCAGCCTGCCAGGGCAGCGACACCCTGACAGGCTCACACAGGAAGCAAGAGGGGCTACATGTGGCTTTCAGTACCACTGGATGGCCCACAGGAAGAGATCACAGAGGCCAATGCAACATCACTGCTTCTAAGAGCTTCTTTTCTTGTTTCTGAGGTTTTGTTTGCTCCCTCTTGCTATTTCATGATGGAGAAGCAAATCCAAGGATCTTTCCAGTTGAGACTTCTTATCAGCTTATGGGCGGCTGGGAAAGAATAGTAAAAGTCCCCTAGCTGGAAAAAATGTTGACTTTATGTTGGCAAACCAAAAACAACAGGAAGCCAAGCAATGAAGGGAAGAGGGGGAAGAATAAAAATAAATAAATAAATAAAAACCCCAAATCCAGTAAACAACTGACAAACCTGAAAGCTTTTCATTTTATGATAAAAAATATTCTCATTCCTTCCTAAGAAAAGGAGACATTTCCTGTGGAAGTATTTCATGGGAATTTCACCTGAACGTTTTGTCATTTTTCTTTTTTTGACAGACAGTTCTGAAAGAGCTTTAGTTCAGGCTGAATAATAGTCATGCATGTCTCCAAACAGCCATTTGAAAAGATTTGTAGCCCTTGTCCAAGAGAGTCCCCTTTACGGTGCCTCCAGAATACACACATGACTGTCCTCCAGTCCCATAGCACTGTGAGCCTTTGTACATGAACCTGTTGAGCCTCAGTCTCTTCAGGACACTGCTTGCCATTTCTCTCTTCTACACCTCTGCTAAGACACTTCCTAGCCCTTTTTTTACTAGTTCTCTATCCCTTTCTTCCTCTTTTTTTTTTCTGCAGCCTTGACAACTCATCTTTCACCCACTTCTCTGCCCATGTTTCTTCACTCATCTTTCTTGTAGCACCTTTGCTGAAGCCTCCTGACTAATTCTTCTTCTTTTGAAAGGCTTTTGTGCCCAAAGCTGAAACCCTGACTCCTTCTGTGAAGCCTTTTGAAGCCATTCTTCAAATCTGTCCCTCCACGAGATTTGGCCTTCCAAAGCCATCTCTCAGATGCTTGCAAGCAAATCCAGCATTCTGCTTCTCCTCCAAACATACACACATTACTCAGTAGGAAACTACAAAGACCCACATGAAATGTGCCCACTCATTTATCTTATTGTCAGCCTTCTTGCATCCATCAGGACTGCAGACCATAAGCACCTTGGAGCAACCACCATGACATACTTCTGTCTTCAAAAACTCTTACCACTTTAATCATGGCAAAACAAAACAAAACAACCCCCCCAAAGAAACACAAAAACAAACAAGCAACCCAACAAGCAATCAAAAGCCACCAAAAAAACAACTAAGCACCACTTCATCTAGGAAGGAGATGAAACCCCCTTTTGGTTTGCAGTAGCAGCTGTTAAATAGCAAAAAGCAAAGCTGCATCACAGCAGGGAAGAATGAGAGGGAATGTCTTGAAGCTAGTTAAAATGGCTTGGTTAGGAATTAATGGAGGTAAAAGAAAAAACTTACCTTTCTAACTGTAGAATTTAATCAAATATCAGCGTGTTTTTACTTACTGAAACATTGGAGGGGAGAAAGGCAAGGGCACAGCTGTAATTCTTGTAGAAAATTAAAAATCACACAGAAGCAAAACTCTTGTTGGCTTTGGATAACTTGGAAGAAATTGTGCTTTCATTCAAAACTACAGTGCTTCTTGCAGTGTACTGCCTGCTGCCAGCCCAGCCTTGTAGCATCTTAGCACTGCTCCTCAGGCAGCCAGGCCGTCCTTGCCACAAATATGGGAGAGTGATGGATCCCGGCTAGGACTGCATCTCCCCCTCCATCTCCTTCAGCCCTTCCTAGGAAACTCAGCGGATTTTTCCACTCTGTTATTGGCCTTAGAAGACATGAAGGTTGCACCCAAGGTTGTATGAATGAAGATTGCAGTCCTTCCTAAACAGCTAAGGAATGATTACCAACCTAGTGTACTAAAGGCAGGGGGAGGGGGAAGATGGAGGAAGATGCACTGTTAGCAATTCTCTTATTTGATTTTACTTTTTTCCTTCCCACCCTTTCCTTCAGAGCTATTTGAAACGATAAGAGTATGAAGAGATTTCGCTTAAATTAGGTTTACAAATAGCCCAGTGAATAGGGAAATGAGATGCATATGCTACATGTTACAGTGTCACTGCCGTGCAGCCCAATGTGACTGGGATTTGGAACGAAGCCGGGTCCTGAAGATGAGGTGCAAAGCACTGTCAGTCAGAAGGATGCTCGAAGGCTTCTTGGAGCCCAGCTTTCCAAGTGCTTGCTGCTGCTGCCCCCCGACGGTCCCTGCTAGCAACCTGCCTGCTTGCACAGAGGCCACCAGTGACTAAGAGTAGGCTGGGAATTGTTTGCTGCAGGCTGCTGCTGCTGCTGGGCTGCAGAAGGACATCAGCCCTCGCAGTGCTGGGTGAGCCTCAGAGCAGCTGGGCTAGGGCACTGGCAGGGAGAGGCGTGCAAAGGTGACCCTGAAAAAATGGTCTTTTTCAAAGGATTATTAAAATGATGGCTCTATTTAGTCCTTGTCAGCAGGATTTATTTTCTGTCCAAAGAAGTATCTTTGTTGCCTCCTCTTTTACCCGCCAGATCATTGCTCTGTATCTTCCATCTGGCAACTGAACATCAAGCTGTGGTTTTCCTACCTTGTAATAAGTGTATGTGTTGACGGTCAAACCTGCTGCCTTGGCAGCCCCAGAGACCAAAGACCTCTTCCCACAGGGTCAGCAATTCACATTTAGCTTCTCTCAAATACTGACTCCTGCCAGCTTGTCTCACACACTTGGTCTAGCAGCAACCCTCTGCTAAAACCACGAGGGCAACCAGGCTCCATATCCTGCCCAACACCCTTGCTAAGCCCGCGGGCAGGAGAGGCCAGCAAGAGTGGCTGGCTATTTTCATTACTCCTTTCTTTACTATCGTTGATGGATAGCATGCAACTCAATGGCTCTTACGTGATATCTGCCCCTCTCCAGACGATAGGAATGGGGAAAGCCTGCTCTGACACTCTCAGACCCACAGGCCTAGCTGTGCGAGGCTCAAAAGCTGAAGAGCAGGAGAGGTATGCAGCTAACCACTCTGTACCCAGCTATAAAGCTAAGCCCCACAGCTGCCCCACAGGCTGGCAAGAGAAAGTCTGGCAGGTCTGCTTCAGCCCAGGTGACTGGGCTTTGGCATGAGAGGCCATGTTCCATCCTAAATGTTGAAGCACATGGGTTCCTCTTTCTGGCCTATTAGCAAGATGTTTGTCTTGCTGTCCAGGTCTATGGAGAGTTCTGCAGCTTTGAGCCATAACTGGAAGTGATAAAACTCCTGCACAGGTGTACGTGAACCACAGCTCTGCTTCATGCTGGATAGAGCCAGCCCCTGATGGCTTTCCTGTCCACTGGAAGAATCCATCAGTTTTGCCACAGGTACTTGGAACTGAATTAAATCTTTCCTGTCTTTCTTAAGAGCTAGTCTGGGTGTGATTGGTCACCCCCTTCAGAGAGCAGCAACCACAAGGGTGAAGAAGGTAGGCAGTCTTTATAAGCCAGGACAGCCCTAAGAAATAACTACACATAAATGAAAGAAAATGACGGAATACTGTATATTCTTAGAATACTGTATATTCTTAGAATACACTCCTTGTATCACCTAGAAAGATTAACACTCGGGGCAGGCAATATGCACATGGAGAACTATACAGGCCAGCATTCAAAAACAAAAACTTTGCAAGGAAAAATATTCAGTCAGAATCTATATGGGAAGTATTCCTTTTTATTCCTGTGACTAGGAAGATTGTGGACTCTCAGAGCAGAGATCTTTAGGAGTGTGTTAACCATCTTTCAGGAAGGGATTAAATATAGTTGATCCTCTTAGGTTCAGTGTATGTGTTTAGACTGGGGAGATTAGATGGTGTTTTGAAGTCCATTTGGGGCCTATTCTCTACGATTATATCCATTTCCCAGATGGGAAACAGAGGTCTCAGAGAAACTGAAGCCAGTATTTTCATTCTCAAACCCCTGTGTTCAGATTAACTAATATACCTATCTTTGAAATGCACTCCAAGTATCCAGCTACAGTCCCTCAAAGTGGGTGTCTGCATCCCCACTATATTTCAGGGCAAACAGCAAGCCAAGAGTGAAACCCATGCTAGTACCCAAGCACGTCTGCAGGATCACAAGTGCTCAGTGTATTTCTATTCATTTAATGTGCTTTTTTTTTTTTCTATCCTCTTGACTAATTTTCTCCCCTTAAAAGATATAAATCATGTATCTGCAAAGTAAGAAATTATTTAAAGAAAGAACACTTATATTTAAGCTCAAAGAGGAACTTGGTTAATATCCCCAGTGGCTGAGGTGTGTCTGACTGGTGAATATGATTTGGCTGAAGACTCTACTCTAGAAGATGTTTTATTGGTTTTAATACCTGCAAGCCTGCAAACTAGTGTTAGGTACACTGGAGTATTCCTGCGGGTGAACACTCTGTCTGTGAGTGAACACTATTAGTATAGGTTAACTTAATGTTGCCTATGTTCATCTTATCTAAATCAAGCTATACCTCTCTCGTCACCAAATGTATGCTCACATGCACCAGATTTTGCCCCACGTTAACTCAGTCAGCTTAACAACTCCATTTCACTGCATGACACTCTCAGATGGAGACAGGGTAACTGAGGTTTCCCTTTACTTTTCTAAGCTGCATGACAACTAAATTTTTTTCCTCATCCTATTTCTGCTAAAGACAGGGGGAAATGCAGGAGGGGAGATATTTCATTGACTCCAGTAGCCTTAGACAAGTGTTGCAGCTTATCTGTTGGTACAGAGAAGCACTTCTGATTCATCAGTTACAGCTTAGGAACAGAAGCACTACCAGGAGCTTTAAATGTGCAACAGAAAGGTACCAAGAAAGAATAATCTGCTGGAAAGAATCAGGGTGAGCATTTCCTAAGCGGTCACCACCTTACATCTGTTTTCTCCCACTACTGTTTCCTGTGTGATGCTTGTATGCCTGTAAAGGCTGGTCTCTTGCGTGCTCCACTCCAACTAGCAACAGAGTTGCAGCAGCTCGGAATAACACAAATCTAATTCTGAGCCTTAAGCTTATGACAAAGAACACTGAAACATATGTAAAAAAAATAAACCAAACCTTGCAGCCTGACTCAGAATCATTTGTGACCAACAAGAATCGTTTAAAACTATCAGCAAAAGATTTGATCAATTTTTTGTCGCAAACCTTGAACTTCATTCTTAGGAATATGACACAGCTGATAGACACACCATCTCCCTCCCAGCCAGTGAACAAGTAGCTTTATGTTGGTCGAAAGAAAGGTTAGACCTACAGAGTGTACCTGGTGTGTGCTGGGGAGAGACAGGACACTATGCGTGCAGTAAAGCCCAGCTGAAATGCTATCCTGCCAGAGCAGTCCCATGGGCTGTATGCTCTTGGATTGACTACCATAAGCAGAAGTGAGGGTGACATACACAGAAATCCTGATTATAAAATGAATTTCAAAGACAAAATAACATTTTTGACTAGCTGGATTAGACCTGTGGTTTGGCGCATTTCATAGATCAGCTTTTAGTAAGAACAGATTTGGAACCAAACTCTGGTTTCTGATTTCACTCTCTAGCAAAGATACCTCTCAGCCTGAGGCTGGGGATGGCTTTGTGTAAAGTAAAAAGCTTTGGTGCCTCATCACATCCGAAATCTATAAGGGTCTTTTTGTCTTTTACCCATCCATGTGTAGCTGAAATGAAAATCAAAGCTGGGAGATCTGCACGTTTGTTTTAAAGCCTCAACAAACTTGCATGAGCAAGCACTTTGCTGTTCTATTCAAACTCCAACTTCAGTTCTCTTTGAAGTTCAGCTAACCTTGGTCCAGTACTGAACATGGAAATGGTGGCCAGCCTCCCAAAACGACTGAAGTCTCTGATTCCTGGAGCTTGCTAGCAGGCAAGCAGAACTCAGTTTGCAGTGGCTCTTTTTCTGGGTGTTCTCCTAAGAAAGACTGCTCTGAAGCAGTGCTGAAGAGTGAAGGAGCAAGAAAAGTCATCCAGACAACTATCTTAATGCAGGGCAGAAGGACAAATTTAAGATAGAGGTGAGCCCACACAAGGAAATCAGTTGCACTGATAGAGCGGAGGTAGCAGTTCTTTACACAAATTGTTTGAGTTCTGTTCCTCAGGTATACACACATGCCACCACTTCCCTGCGCCTTTGAATCGCAGACCATCGGAGCAGGCCATGGCAAGATCCATTTGCTTCTGGAATGCAGAGCACTCAAGCCTCCCCTCCAGAGCATCCCGGGCACCACAGTGCCTAGGACAGATGCTAAATAGCAATCCTGGGAGAAGGAAAAGGCAGGAGCTGGCCATCCTCACTTGTCTTTGCAGGACCAGAAGGAAAAGGTAGGAGAAGGAAAAGACCTACCAGTTAATCAGGAGGTGAAGCATGGTGCAGACGAGCTGAACGAGTGGGCAACAGGATCTGATGTAGTTCTCCATCCCTCCGGAGGATGTCACCGTAGAGCCACCAAAGACGGCCAGCTTCGTGACCCAAATCCGGAGAGAGCGGGAATTAATGACTAAAGTAAGCAGGCTGTTCGGGCAGTACCCCCAAACCTGCCTATTTTGGGGAAAATCGGTTTTCCCCAGGTCAGAGTGCACCTTCTGGCAAGGGATTGGGGGAGCAGGGGCAGTGGAGAGCAGCACACATGATGATCTGAGAGATGTGCAACAGGTTGGCCTGCAAAGCAACGGGGACATGCTCTGGAACACCAGACTGAGCAAAAGCACCTACAGATGGGCCTGCT